GCGAGAGATCGCAGGGAGCAAGGGCTTGTCTGTTAAAGACGCTTCGGCCAACCCACAGCACGGGATAACCGTCAGAGGCACGTTCGTTCTTATCGACCCAGACTTCGGTGACATTGCTCAGCAACCTCTGCGACATGCAACTGATACCACAAGTCTCCCTGACACTCCCGAGCTGGGCCAACAACTGTTCTCGTTGTAGACAATGCGGGGTATTCCAGGATCGGGGGTCAAAGAAGTGCTTCCTCGGGGTCAGGTGAACGCGGACTAGCTTCTCGGGGGTCTCTATCCAAAAGTCATGTAGTTGAGTTCTAGACCACCAGGCAAGGAACACAGTCTCGTTGAGTACATCGGCAACCAGCATGTCACGAACTGCGGGGTCTATCTTTTTGTCGTAGAAGATCTTCGGGCTAGTAATGCAAGACGACGAACCAGTAGGAGTCCCTACCCCAACATCCCCAGCACATGCAGTCATGTACACCACTCGCGAGCTCAGCACTTCGATCCCATGCGGCTCCCACTTCTTGGGAAGCTGCGAAATTTCCGGCTTGCCTTCTGTTCCATGGTCGATAGGGACGGCTGGGTGCCCGCTAGCTGTCTCGAGGAGTGTGAGCTCCCCTGGGTTGAGGTTCCGAAAACTGGCCCGAGAGAGACCCAAGTCGAGAACTAGTCCTAGTCGTCCAAGTGCGGGTCGAGAAAGTAGCAGGGGTAAGTCCCCGTGGATAACTGCAGCCTTCACAGCAACCCACTTGCCGAGGAGATTCATCATCACGACGGTGGCGTAGGTGGACTCGTAGATCCTGTTTGCGGCCCCGAACTTAAAGCACTCCTTCTCGTAGATGAAGTCGGTATCAAAGCCCCTGCCTCGGACCGCAGTCAGGTAGCGCTCGAGCCACGCCGTACCAACCACAGTCTTTGAGCAGGCGGAGTCCAGGATCGCGTACAAGCCCTCCCCGCCCGAGTAGGTAGAGAGCTCGAAGATCTCGTTCGTCACATGCACCGTTTGTGTCTTCTCTCCGCTGGCCCGCTTGGGACAGACAGCATCCTTGTGCCAGTGGCCCTTCTGCCCGCATGCCGCGCAGTGGCTCTTCGACTTCGCCAGGAGGATTTTGGCCTCGGCCGCCTTCTTGACCGCCGTAGGATCAAACCCCTTCGCCGCACCTCCCTTGTAGCCGTAGTCGGTCGTGCCGCGGGACTTCGCGGCGTCCCTGTAGCGGGCCTTGGCCGTCATGTAGGAGATGTAGAGCTCGCCAGTGTCCTGCTCGAGGTGGTCCTCGAGCATCGTCTCCTCGTCGGTGTCCGCCTCGCCGTCGTAGACGCCGTCCTCCGCATGGTTGACCGAATTGTATCGCCGTCCAGGGGGGCCATCGTTCCGTCCACTCTTCTCCCAGGGCTTCCTCATAGACCTGTCCAGCACTATGGCGGCCTGTTGAAGCTCCTTGAGGGCGTACTTGTTCCCGACGGAGGCGAGAAGCGAGACCTCCGTCGTCTCGTCCAGGCTGGCCCTGTCGACGTAGAGCCAAGCGTTCGCCACATCTGGCAACTTGCATCCACATTCGGTTACCCTCGCCAGCAGCCTGTTGAACTCAGCGGTGTAGTCCCGGAAGGTCTGGGAGGGTTTCCTTCGGAGTTTCCTGAACAGATCGCTCAGGGACCTGCCCACCTGCGTCACCTCGATGTCCAAGTAGTGCTGCCGAATCCAGTCGCGAAGGTAGTCCACGCCGCGGTCAGAGGCGAGGTCGTTGACGTTGAGTGACTCGGCATTTACCCAAGCTGAACCCTGTAGGTTTTGGTAGAGAACCAGGGCTCGTTGTGACAAAGACAGCTTAGTCATCTTCTCCCATGCTGCCACCTGTCGCAGGTAGCTGCGCGCCGA